ACCAACTTCCAGAGAGTGGCGCCGACGATGACGGTCTTGCTGCTGCGAGTGAACGGGCTACGATCCTTAGCGATGCAGGCAGTAATGCTGTCCGCAGCGAGACTGGAGACACTGGGGAGCCTCCCTTAGATGGCGCGGGGGGCAGACGTGAGTCTTGGGTCCCTATCAACAGCCCTGGTATGCCGCTGCCCGGACCCGACGGCGAACGTCGGCCTAGTCTTCCATTGCCACCTAATCGCTCCTTGCAATCTCAATCCCCTTACTCTCTCCCGTCTTTGCAACACCATCCGGATGGGCCGTTGTATAATTCGTCGTCCCCCAACCTTCCTTCGCTGGGACCGCCTGGACCATACGGCGTTCCGCCATCTACATCGACCCCGGCGTCTTCGCAGTACAATGGTCCAGGAGCAGCTTCCAACCGCCTGCAGCCGTTGAATTCCTGGCTCAATCGCACTCAGCCACCTCCTCCTTATTCTCAATCACTTCCTCCGATCAACGCGGCAGCGTCATCACATGGATTGCCATTGTTGCCCCCTCCTGGCTCAGTCGGCCACCCTGGCGCCTCCCCACCAGTGACCGTGGATGGACTGGAAGTCGTTAACACTAATAGCTTGTGGTCAACGAGCTTGGGTGGAGACGATGTACTTGCCTTTCTAGAGGGGTGCGAGTATGATCAACTACCAGCCACGGTTTCTCCAGAGAGTACTCCGACTGGGTGGCTCACCACCGTGTGGACCGAGTTTGCCCGCTGAATTCATTGATTGATTATAAGCCTTGTTCGTTTCTTTTTCCTTTGTCTTTCGACTTCGATGTTTCTTTTTTTTTTTTTTGTTTTTTCCCCCATGATGGAGCATTTTTTGGGCTGTATTATTACGCTATATGCGCGGCTGCTGTGCTGTATGATTATGTATGCGCGCTTCGGCGGACTGACGAGACCACGCAATGCTTTGGGATTGACGCGATGTTTATTTGAGGGTTGAAAACCTCTTGGGGTAAGCCCATCAGAGGGATCTGCAGGTCGCATTTCTTGTTTCTGTCTTCTTTCTGGTTCCTGGTTTCAGCAGCATTGGAATTTGCAATGGCGCAAATGTTGTCTGTGGAGTGACACGACACTGATGGGAATGAAATGGCTTGACAAGGGGGTTTCATGCAAGTTGATTTTGACGAGCGTGGCGTCCGGTTCGGTTCGGGGGTTTATCTTATTTTGGATGGACCGGAGGCATATCAGTTCCAGCAATCTATGACGATTACCTTGATCACTTGTATCTTCTTGTTTGTTCTTACGATGCACCTAGCTTGTAGAGGAAAGAAGGACACGAGATGCCGCTGGCAAACTAGCGTGTCGCTCGGACTGTCTCGATGGCGCGGAATTGTTGTCGGGACGCCACAGCGTGGCGCAGGGCGTGAGGACTCTAGGGAGGGTAATTTACCCAACAGCCCACCATCAACACACGTACGAGGCATTTACTGTCGGATCATCTTGTCTGTTGAAGCCACTCCAGCAGAGGACATCCCAGACCGTTTAATTGATTTCCCCCCTGGAATTGTACGGTATCCATGGCAGGTGCAGCACAGCCAACCATACAGCGCAAGTTCAGGATCCGGAAGCAGATACAAGTAACGTATCACTCGGAGGCTTGCTTTATCTTCGAGCCAGGCTCATAAGTGATCACCATGCTTATTCCCAAGGATGCTTATTCCCAAGGAAAGAGTTATTGGGCTGAACCGCGACGGTTGGTTGGCTCGCCAACAAGCGCAAGGGTGCATCGAAACCTCCAGGCCTTACTCTCCCACTTTCTCCCTTTTTGCGCTGACGAAATGGCCGGATTTCGTATATCGGTGGTCCATGGACTTGCATGGCTAGAAAAGATCGGTCCTCTTGAGTGCTCATAATCCGGTGAACTGTTCGCCTCAGAAATAGATCCGAGAGAATCATGGGGAGGAATGGTATCCATGATCTTGAGACACCGTCTGGGTTTGGAAGGGCCTGCGAGACGAGACTTCTTGGAAGTACAGTACGCAACGCTGTGAAAACGGCAGACTGTACTGTTTTTCAGCAGAAGTCATAGGATCCTGTGACTACGATAACTCAAGAACAAGGACGAGGATGAGAAGTCAAAACAAGCTTCAATTCCCACCCCAACGGATCGCAACTCTAACGTGTCCACCAGAACCTTAAATCGATATGATGGAACCCCCAAGCAAACTAAATTGACCAACAAGGCGCAGACATGCATGCATAGTGGAGTCCAAGAAACCTGCCAAACCCGAGCTGCTGATTGAAAACTCAATGGACAGACAGCTGATCGGGGACAACCGTGGGCCGTAGTGTACACCGGAGAACTGCTTTAGTGATAGCCCCAGTGACCACCCCCCCCCCCTCCCCCGATAAGCTCTCGCAAAACTGCGGGTTGATCTGGACGTTCGATCTTGAAACACTTCACCAGCCCTTCTGGAGGGGACGTATTAACTAGATAACCGCTGTGGGAACGCATCCAGGCAGACTATCAACCTCGAGTCCTTGATTATCGTGTTTACCTCCGAGAGGAGCTCTTTCGTGGCTGTTCGGTCTGGGTCGACCGCCGAGACGGTGGCCGCTATGCCCCCGAGTCTTCCGAGGAATGACCTGGCTTTGCCTAGGGTATCTGGTCTTTTGGTTAGACGATTATCTATGCTTAGGACAAAATATCGTCCAAGAGAGTACAACTGACCAAGTGCCTTCCTCAGAGTGTAGTCTTTGTGGACACGGCGAAAGATCTTCTCGGTCTGGATCAATTCGGGCATCGCTGCGGGGGCGATGATCTTCGTTTTGAGCTGGTCGCAATCGAGACCGATATCTAAGGCACGATTATAGTCAGCCATCCGTTGTTCGTACTAAAAGTCGAAGCCCCAGAAGGAGGAGGAGGAGGAGGAGGAGGAGGAGGAGGCGAACCAGAAGATTCATAATATGATCGCAATTCTTCGAGCAATGCAGCAGCGGACACCCCGACGGGTATTGTTGTGGTACTTGCTGTAGCTGTTTCAGTCAGATCCCCCATCAACGCTGCAAAGTATACCGCCATGGGAAGTCTCCAGGCTGGGTTCTCGAACAAGTGCACAATTTCGCGGAGCGCCTGCATGCGATCATGCGGTACGGCAGGGTGAGTCTGCCGGCGTGTCTCCAACACCCAGCGCAGGCGAAGGACCTCGTTCGCCCATCGCGGTCTCTGCTGGGGGAGCTGGATATCCGCGAATGCGGGCTGGATGCGCCGGAGCCGGTTGCCCTCACAGAGGGTCTGCGCATTGATCACCTGGCATCTGCCCTCGATCTGCAGCGCGCCCTGCGACAGGTACTCGCCAAAGTAGAGTTCCGCATCGCGGAATTTCTTCAGCTTTGCCAGACCGTCGCCTTGTGGGTTCGGATCATTGTCGAGGAAGGCATTGAGCAAGTCCAGGTCACGGATGAAAGTTCCGCGAGGGAACTTGGTGGTGTCGATCACGTAGAGGTTGATTTCGTCCAGAGGCGAACCGTCGCGGTAGCTCCAGCGGCGGAAGTAGATGTACTGTAGCGCAAAAAGCAGGGAACTGGTCCATGAAACGAAGGGGTCGTTGGGGGGCTCCTTCCACCAGAGATGGTCATTCAGAAGGGCGGCGATGCGGTCTCGTTTCCTGCCTTCATTCAGGTTGGAGAAGATGTCTTCCCCGTGAGGGAGGGTGCTCTTGGGACGGACCCATGTGCTGCTCGTTTGGGCGCTAGTCTTCGCTGATGCCACGCGAAAGAGATAGGTTGGGGTCTCTGAGAGAGAGCTGCAAGTTGCTTTGAGGTCGGCTGGAGGGTTGAAGCAGAGAGGTTGGGATTGCGGATTGATGTTGAAGTGTTGAAAGGACCCAATGATGGTTTCGACAGTCATGTTTGCGGATGAGCGTGGGTGATCTTGATCGGTCGATGCTGGATAACTTGGATGATCCTCAGAGTGTGCACTGGAGTGGAAGTAGGAGAAGGAAGTTTCCGCGACATCAGTCTGGCTTTTATAAGTTTCTTCCCCTTGGACTTCTATCCTTTCTTCTTGGAACATCGATTGAACTCAAAGGACAAGGCAAAAGTGTTATGGCACATGGCGCAAGTGTTGCCTGCCGGGGCTATACTTGAAAGACCATCCATTGGTATGAGTGTCTTCCCAAAGCTAAGTAAAGTGAAAGCCTGCAAGGCTCAAGGCTGGCGCACAAACACTACAAGGCTGCGCCGCTGAATGCTAGACATGGTTATGTGTTGGTGAGCGCACTGCAACTTCCCAACTGTGCCACACTGTGGCTTGTTGGCGCCTGCATCAAGCAGCCTGAGTTGTGAATTTGATCCACAGAACACACATTCTCTTGATCATAGGAGCAAGTAAAAGATGGTCTGCAAATAAAAGTGAAATCTAGAGAGCCTGAACGATCTTCGCGACTATCAACGGCCATGTTGCACTTTCGTAGGACTGTCGACCCTAGGAGAGGTAGATACCATGTGGGAGTCGTCCGAGACAGTCACAATGGGATTAAGGGTTAAAGTGACGCCAACATTTTAAGAGATGATAAGAGTTCATTGCTCACCTTTGCAAGCAAAGTGATCTTGAGAGTGTGGCGGTGTTGGGCGCTTATAAATGAGGATTTCTACCTCCAACTATGCGGGTTGTGAACCACGCTCGAATTGTCCCTCCAATAATTCTAGCCTCCTGAAAGCCGTCTTGAGCAGGTTCATGTGTTGAAGACAACAGTCAGGTGAGGAGCCACAGCCTTACCTGCAACCTTCAAGGCCTTGGTAGATCGTGAAATCAAGGGTTGTGTGCACTGTACACTAGGCATCGCCCCGACGACGATTATCAGGCTCCTAGCACTTTATTGTCCATCTTCTCTCGAATGCTTCGTTCCTACTATATACGTGGAGGCACGTTGAGCTGCATTGATTAGGTTGCGTGCAATACCAGAAGCATAGCAACGGCTGTCCTGTGCTTTAGGCGCAAGACGTGAACAAATCCATCTCATGGCAGTAATAATAAATAGAATAAGAATGGAATAAATTACAAAGAGAAAGTCCTTCGTTATCAGAAATTTTGGTATCCTACCACATCAAGTGTGGACATCGACGATCGCTCCCCCGCTCCTGCGACAGGATCGACTTGCACTAGATCTGTCACCATAGCCCGTTAGCGATGTGATACATGGTAGAGGACACGAGGTAACGGCGGGATGTATCCCATCGATCAACACTCAGAGAACTAGTATCCTTCTTCCTCGCCTTGCTGGTAGACGTGTCGCGATCGCGTCGGATCTTTGCGCATCTGTTGGCCGGACCCCGTAAAGCCCACTGTCCGAGTCAGTCATTGAAACACACTCCACATTGTAGGAAGTGGGAGAAGAGCATACCTCGAGCATTCAATCCGTCTCCTGTTCGGAACATGCTCTCCTTCTTGCGTCCGAGTTTCCCTTTGCTGGCAAAATCCTTCCACTTCATCTTGCCCGCCTCCAGCTCCTTGTTGGCCTTCACCTTGCGGGCGGCCTTGGTAGGCCGTGCGGACCCCTCGCTCACCTTGGTCGGCTCTTGACGCGCCTGGTTGGCCAACGCAGGGTTGATGTCCGCCGCCGCAGAAATCACGCTCGAGTGGGATGGCTGGGGTGCCGGTGATTGGGAAGAAGAATTGCCTGAGCCTGCATCAGCCTTGCGCTTACGCGAGTCATTGCTGGAGATTGGCCGAATGTCCTTGGAAGTCAGAGATTCCACTGTCCCGTACGACTTGAACGAAACGAGGTAGACGGGGTTGCTCGAGGAGCCGGTGATGGAGGTGATGCGCGCGGGATAGAACGAGTTATCGCCCGATACCCAGCGCGCAAGAACGTTTTCGTTGACGGAGAAGGACGACTGGTAGGATGGTGCCGGTTCATCGGGCTGCTCAGCGGTCGGTTTGCGATAGTTGCTCTGTGTGCTATAACTGTCCTTCGCTCCTTTATCCTTCGCCGCGGCTGGTTGGGGTACTGCTGGTGGCGCTGGCGGTTTCAGTTCGGCGATGGATGTTTCGGTAAGGTTTATAAGTTCTTCCAGCTCAGTTTTGAGACTTTGCAATTCTGTGTTGTCTGGGTCTACCTGCAAACTCGATTGGACGGTTTCAAGCTGATGATGGTCAGATCCAATGGAGGGTGTTAAAAATGCGGCGGTCGTACCTGAAGCTTGAACTCCTTGACCTCAGCCTCCAGGGCTGCGATTTCCGACATATTTCTGAAGAACGTTGAGATGGGTCTGAAGAAAGAGGGTATGGAAAAGAGAAGAAGTATGAGGAGAGGCGGTCTATTGATGGTCAAACCAAGACAGGCTGGGCTGAATCGCGAAGTTGCAGATAAGAAGTCGCGTTGGGATAAGATAGCGTGGCGGAGCCCCACTGTGGCTGGTTGGTCACGTGATTTCTAACAACACCGCCACATGGTTGAAGCGGAAGGTCGGCTGAATCCGACAGTAAACGTGGACTCGTTCATGCTGCTTATCGCTGACAGACTGCACACGTCAATGAATGCGGAAACACGAGGTCATGTCGTGACGGTCAACAACATCCTGGCCGGTTCCCTCCTATGTACTATGGAACACTGCACCCAATACCCAAGCTTCATCGGGGCCATTGCGGCCATGCACAAACGCCAGACTCCATCAGGGCAATCAACCCACTACGGGTCGAGGCTTAGTTGGCGTCCGTTCCATCGGTAGTCGATCCTCACGTCATTCAGTTTCGGGACCTTTGCAAACCGATGGGGAGGGTAATTGGCTCCTGCAGGGTCAAGATGGATCCGCCAATAACTCCAATTCTTCAAGACCATCTTCTACGGCGAAAGTGATAATGCAGGATGGGTCTAGTCGCTGGAAGATGGCGTTTTTGCTATACTTAGCATAAAGCCAACCCGCGCTTCCTCCCTCGTGCCTGGGGTTTTATTGATCAACCCATGGATGGTGTACTGAGGAGAGCCTGTTTCGACGTCTAGGATCTCGAGCCGGAATCGCGGACCTTTGACCTTCCATCCCCACGGTTTACCCCGGTTGTCCGGGTGGCACTGGACCGAGATGAGCAGTTTCGGCGAGATGAGATTTGAGTTTCTCAGCTACCTCATCTTGGCCTCTTTTTTATCTATGAGTATTTACGATCGCTGCTTGCTGCCCTCGGCGTTTCTCGAAATGGTCCACCGTAACAGAGTCTCATTGAATCATCTCCATAGAAGAACGTGCGATCCGAGGCACCCGAGTGGTACGAGAGCCCCGATAATCGGAAGACGCAGATACATACATTCCGCGATTGTACAAATACGGTCCGTAGCAGCATTCATCACGGGGAATTTTGTTGTGGCGCGAGATGAGTCACTCTTGTTGAACCAAATAGATTGTCTAGTTGGTAACTTAGGGCGTGGTTTGCACTTTACAGTAACTAGGGGATGGTTGGTTGAGTGCAACGGTGCAACGGTAGTAAGCACGGAGGAAGCCGCGTGTATCCCCGACAGGCAGTTTCTTCATATCAGTGCTGAGTGAGTGAAACCAATCAATCAACGTGGAAGAGAATGGGCGAAGAGAGAAAAAAAGACTCAAAAGGATCGTCAGCCTCGATTTATAAGCAGGCGAGACCTTCTCAAGGGTTTTTAGGCACTTTACCTTTATTGGTTCAAGTGCCTCCCCCGCTTCTGCTGTGCACCAATAGCCATCCACAGATAGGCTCACCGCCCTCTGCCGCCTTAGGCAGCAACTCGCCCCCCTCCTCAATCTCCGTCCCTCCGCCCTCTCCATTCCATCATCTTTCTTCTTTCATCCAATTTATCCAATTTACTCAGTATTCCCTCAACTTGCAGACTCACCACTTCCCCTTCAATTCCCGAACTACGCCTTTCTTGTCTTAGGTCCTCCAGTCCTCCAGCGATCCAGGCAGCGAATCATCCCCCCCATGATCCTGAAACCGTCTTCGCCTTAGTGTCCTTTCGCCTGCCTCGCCCACCCACCCCCCACCCCCCTCCCTCCCTCTACGCTTCTCTTCCATCTTCCATCCTTTCATTGTCAGTCCACCGGCTTGCATCATCATTTTCTTTCCTTATTCCACACTTTCTCCGAGCCCCTCTTCTCCTCCTGACCTATCCCAATCCCGGTGGTACCTTCGGCCATTCGTCAGCCTTTGTTGCGGCTTGTGCACTCGCTTGCTAGTTGCTTCGATACGGCTCCTGGTCAAGAACGTCCCTGATCCTTTCTTACCTCTCGGAATCCCAGCAAGGCTCTTCCACTGAGGACTTCTGCATCACTTCATTTACCTTGATCATCAATACCTCTCCAACAGGTCTTCGCAGATTTCAGCTTCGGTGATATCGGCCTCTTTACCATAAACGAGTCTCTCATTCCTCTTCCGGGTCCTATCATTCAGGAGCCCCGTCGATCACTCCATTTAGCCTCTGGGGTCAACATCGATACAACGAACGGGCGGGAAGCCCGGCCCTGATAGCTCAACGAACAGTCGAATCGAAATTCTTGACAAGACACTTGATCCTATCAGCTTCGTATACGAGACGCTATAGCGTAGCTATCAGATCACCGATTCTCTCCAGTTAGCCTAATCATATTCTCGCTTCGAAAACGCGTCCTTCCAGCACCACCCGTATCCTCCTTTCACAATGGCCGACTACAACTCCCTCTATCAACACAGCTTGTACCTCTCCCCCGACCAGCAAGACCTTCTTCTGGCCGCGCTTTCTTCCAACAATCCTCCGCCCAAACAGCAAGCCAACAACCAAATCAAGAGATCAACTTCAGAGCCAGACTCCACCCCCGGTAATGCATCCTCGAGCAGTTACAATGTATCGCCTGGGTTTGACATCACCCAACCCAACTCCGGTACCTTGGGCTATGGTGATGACGAAAGTCCTTTCCTCGACTTCAACCCAGAGCTTGACTTTGACTTTCAAGGTACGGAGAATTTGATCGGTGATTTGCCCGAAGGACTTTCTCTGCCGGACGATCATGAAGCAGGCGAGAAGAGAAAGGACATGGACGGCCCTGCCGAAGAAAATGAAGGCGCTGGCAAGAAACGAAGGGAGAGTGATGACAAGACAGCCAAGAAGCCGGGAAGAAAGCCATTGACTTCGGAACCCACCTCGGTACGTTTTGTCTGCGCCGTTCGTAGTAATCTACCCTTCCATCCTTGTACTAATTCCTTTATAGAAGCGTAAAGCACAGAATCGCGCAGCTCAACGGGCATTCCGTGAGCGTAAGGAGAAGCATTTGAAGGATCTTGAAACAAAGGTGGATGAATTGCAAAAGGCATCGGATGATGCGAACCAGGAAAATGGTTTGCTTCGCGCCCAGATTGAGCGTCTGCAGGTTGAACTCAAGGAGTACCGGAAACGTCTTTCCTGGGTTACCAGCACAAACGGGCTCTCGGCTATGAACGCTATCCCTGGAGCCTACTCCAAGGGAAATTACACTGGTCTTCAGAACAATGATTTCATGTTCGACTTCCCCAAATTCGGCGACCTTCCAGGTGCTCACATCTTTAACAACGGTCAATGGGGCAAGAACCAACAGAACAACAAGCTCAAGAACGACGTCAATTCACGAAGCGAGTCCCGTGTCCCTGGTGTTCTGAGTCGAGACTCACTGAATGGAATCAAGACCAATGGATCTGCGACGAATACGCCTAGCCCCATGTCACAGTCTAACGGTGAACGCTTGGGTTCCAAGAGTACCACGCCCAAGCTTCCAATGACCCACAATACTCAGCACGCACCTTCCGTACAAGATGTTTCAAATTCTGATTCTCCGTCTTCTTCGTCCGACTCTCACCAAAGCCAGTTCCTCTCTTCCAGCGGCACCTCCCCTGAACCATCTGTCAACTCGCCCGCAATTAAGCACCACACTGACCACAGCAACTGTACTTATAATGGAATCAACGGCGAGGAGTCCTTTTGCGCACAGCTCGGTATGGCTTGTGGCAATATCAAAAATCCTATCCCGGCGGTCAGGCACAGCAGTGTCAGCGTCACGAATACGCCCAGTCAACCTGAGCAGGGTTCGGCAGAAACTGCTCCCGAGCCCGCTCTTGAGATCCTGGCTCAGCAGAATGGTGGGCAATTTGACCCGGTGTTGTTCGGAGATTGGCGCGAACCACAAGACGCAATTTTGTCACAAGACTTTGGCACTTTCTTCGACGATGCATTCCCGTTGCCGGATTTGGGTAGTCCTTCGCACAACTTCAGCGAATTGGCCGGTCAACAGCAGCAGCAACAGCAACAGCAACAGCCTAAGAGGAGTCTGATTGACGAGATCGACAGCAAGCTGGATGAAGATGAGGTGGTTCCTGGGGAAGACAAGACACAGATGATGAGTTGCACCAAGATATGGTACGTTCTTTCATCGCGTGACATGAATCAAGGCATACTAACGCAGTCTAGGGATCGCCTGCAATCCATGGAGAAATTCCGCAATGGCGAACTCGATGTCGACAACCTCTGCTCAGAGCTGCGCATGAAGGCTCGGTGTTCCGAGGGCGGCGTGGTCGTCAATCAGCAAGATGTCGAAGACATCATGGGACGTGCCAAGTAGTTCATACAAGTCACCATCGATCTATCGACAAGGAAATTCCAACGCCGTCGCTACCGATTCCGACACCATCGTTATGCGTTTCAGATACCCACCCTTTACAATACAATCACCATACTACCGCTATTGATGTCGTTATGACCCCAGGGAAAACATTTTGGATCACGGGAGCTCTTCATATATGAAGAGCCAGCCCACAATATGTGAACGAAGACCAAATTCAGCCGGTATAATCTAACCAGCTCTATATTGTATTGTTTTCTCCGACAAATTATGTACACACATACTACAATATACCATCCACACTCATTGCCTACTTTCTCTTTCTCTATTCTGTCTTTGTTATTCATCTCTCTGCACACTTTCATGATCACGGGAGGCGTGCTTCTGTTAATTCATCGATAATCTCCGTACCCCCTGGAGCTTGCGGGGAGATATTGTACATCACCACCATCGCTTTTGGAGTATGAATTCTGTACCTGATTCCTCGAACTCTCAATGTGCTCGATGTGCTCGATTTGCTTGCTTTTCACTTGGATCGAAAAAGAAACTCCTTCCTCTCTTTGTTCTGCTTGCACTCACACAAACACGGAATCAGCGCTTCTTGATTAGGTATCTTGTTCTTGCCGGACGTCGGAGGTCTTATTTTTCATCAACATGGGGAATGGATTGGATTGATTATCAGGCACTGCGGCGCATCTGCGTTCTGCGTTAATAAGAGGTAGGCGGCTACGGGGGAAATTGATCGGTTCGAGCTTTGGGTTTCAATCCTGTTGGTGTTTTGTTTTTCACGCCTGTTCCATCGCTCTTTATATCATTTTATATCAGTAATCAGAGCCGGTGCTACGAAATCCATTTTATCCCTCCCTATAGTCCCGGGTTGAGTAGTCGCGATCTCAGCTGTAGATGCAGTGCGTTCCTTGTGCTTCGAGTTTCGAGCTTTGCACGAAGGCCTCGCCCAAGGATAATAAATATATCCCACCACCAAAACCCAGCAACTCCGCCCATCACAACCCCCAAAACTACAAACTATGTATGAGATATATGACCACCACATGCCCAGCCCTGCATTTACTCAGCACTACACCAATCCATGAATAGATCCAAGACCCAAAATGAAGTTACTAGGGTATCGATATTGGGTAACGTCTCCCGATAGAGAAAACAGAGAAATTTAAAGTACAAAAAAAAAGAAAAGAAAAGAAATAAGTTGAAGAAAAACATGACCGCTCAGCTCTCCTTTCTCGACTCGAAATCTCTTCTTCTTTCCTATCCCCTATTTTTTGGATTTCCGTAGTGCCCTTTCCCCTCGTCTCTTCCTAATCGTTGCCGCCCTCAGGAGAATCCTTCTCTCATCCACCCACCCATATTTTCGGATCTTGACATCCTCCTCTTGCCTCGCCCGCACGACCGGTGGAGCTGCTCCCCATATCTTTTACCCCAACCGTGGCTTCTGTACCAACGAATAACATAAACTCCTTAGCTCCCGATGGCTTTCCAGAATCTCGATTTGAGACGGGCCGGACATAGACTGATCTATTAGTGGAACAATCCTACCATCGTTGCACGGTAAATGTCTACATGGAAAAAGAAGGAAGAACGAGAGAAAAAAAATCAATGAAGATTCAAACGCATCTCGCTCAAAGAGGTAATGGAAAAAAAGGGTAGTGGAAAAAGTAGATAAGGGAAGAGAAAAGAGGACATCATTTTTGCAGACAAGAAAGATCCTGCACAAAGAAGATTAAAGTATCAAGCGAAGACCGTGCAAGATTCGTAGGGAACATGGTGGGTGATGAGTTGAGGGTAGGACGGATGCTAGAGACAGATGAGGCATGATGAGAGAGTAAGGAAGAGAGGTAAGGAGCACGGATAGAAAAAAAAAAGGTTAGAAAAAGCTTTCGACACAGAATGAGGAAGACGACGGAGAAGGCGAGATGAAATCAATAGATGCGACGACAATTACACCTCAAGCGTCACCCCCAGCTGCGGCAACGGGCTTGTTATCCCCAGCCGAAGACTCGGACGGGCCACCCTTGTTGAAGCCACCACGACCGCCGCGGCCGCCGCGACCGCCTCGATCGCCCCGGCCCCGGCCTCGTCCGCCAAATCCACGGCCCCGGTTGGTCTCACTGTCGCTGGCACCACCGCTCTGGTATCCGCGCTGAGAGGAGCTGGCACCGCCGCGGTTGCTGCTCTGCCATGTGCCGGCATTGCCACGGTGGCTGCCGCGATCCTCGAAGAACTTGATGTTGGGCTTGCGGGGCTGACCAGGTGGGCTGGGCTTTTTGTGGTCCGCGGGCTGGCGCTCCAGCGCGGCCTTGGCCTCTTCAACAGTCGCAAAGGTCACAACGTGGTTGAACTTTCCCCACTTCTCCACTCGTACCATCTTGGCCCGGTCTTCCTCGGGGAAGAGATCGCGCACGGCTTGCTCGTTGTCGACGTTGGAGACGAAGAGACCGTTGCTTGCCTTCTTCTCGGGCTTAGGTAGGGGAGACTCAGACGGCTTTTCAGGCTGAGCGGTGCCGTTGGGCTCGGTGGCAGCGGCTCTCTCGGGAGAGGCCACGGAGGGCTGGCCGGCAGGAGCGCTAGGAGGCTGGGGAGTAGCAGGCTTGGGGATCACGGGAGCCGGAGAGGTGCGGGCGGGGGCGGTGGCAGAGGCCTTGGCCTGGGTGGGCTGAGGGGGTTGCTGTGCCGGGGCACCAGGACGTCCAGAAACTGGCTGCACCTGACCGAACTGAGGAGCAGCGCCGGGAATGCGGGGAGAGGCGACACTGGCGGGAGCACCAGCAGCAGGGACGGGGGCAGCTTGGGCAGGGGCCACAGGTTGGGGCTTTCCAGTGCGGTGAGCGAAGTTGAAACCCTGCGCGCGCATTTCGGTCGCAATGCGGCCGGCCTCAATCTCTAGCACGAGGAAGCCAAAAGCCGCATCCGCCAAGTTGAAATTCCACATGTTCTTGAAAGCACTCTCGTCCACCTGGCCGGCCGCGTTGCCGGGAGCAGCAGGCCCACCAAAGGGATTGCCGCCGTTAGCAACAGTAGGCATCCGGTTAACCACCTCCAGGGCGTTGTCCAGCAGAGTCTTCTGGGCCTCGTTCTGAGAGATAGCCGTCTCAACCTCTCCACGGACAGTCTCCCATACGTCGTTGAATGATGCCTTGGAAGCAGCCAGCTTGCCGCGGTAGTGATCCAGCGAGGGGTTGACGGAAAACTCATTGTAAGACGAGCCGTAGCGGAAGTGCAGACCGGCGGAGATGGAGAAGTCGGCTTTGAGGGTGACGGATAGTTGATTCAGCATGCCCTCACGGGCGGGAGAGGCATGCGTGACGAAGACGCGGGTCTCAGACGGGTCATACACACGGTTGGCCGTGTCGATCAACTCGCCCATTTGCAAGAGGGTCGTCCACATAGTACCTTGACCGCCCGCAATCGTAGTCTTGCCCTCGCCATTGTCGAATAGCTTGTGCATCACGACAGCGCCACCCAGACCCAACAGACGCAGCTTGACGCCACCGATGTCTAGCAGTCGCGAGTTGGCCTCATCGATGATGTGCAGGTTGTTGACCTTGTACTCCCCCGAGCGGAACTTCTCCAACACGCGGACATCTTCACAGGCGCCCCAGACCGTGTACACCGGAACATCGAGAGTCAGCCGCTTGTCCAGCAGCATGGAGAGTTCTGAAAGGGGAAGCTGGTCGGGGGTGAATCGTTGCTTGATCGACTGCTGGGGAGGGGTCTGGGCGATCGTCCGCTTCACATTCTCCGGTAGCAAAGGTGAGTATTGGGCCACGTGCTTCAAAGTCCTAAAGTTGATAGCCCAATCGGTCAGTGGGAACCGATCCGATCACATGTGTTGCATGCATCGAGGCCGCATTCAAGACGAACGAAGACACTCCATTGAAGCACCGGAAATCACTCACTTATCCGCAATGCGCTCCAGCGAGGTATCATCGTAGAAACCAAAGTCACCAGTGTGGATAATGTGGTCCGCACGGGCCTGTCTAGCCAGTTCATTCAGAGACTTGAGATTTCCTACGTCACGGAAAAAGCAAAACAAAGTTCCTCCAAATCAGCGATCGTGTTTTCTGGGTGCGACCGACCCATCGGAGGTCTATCCGGAGCACATACCTCGAACATCAGCGATGCACAGGACTCTGACGGGACCATTTTGCAAGACGCGGCCATTGTTGGGGAGAAGAGGGGTGGCGCCGGGGACAGGGCCAGAAGTGACAGCGCCGTTGGGAAGCGGATAGCCTTGAGGACCAAAGTTGTGAGGAGGACGGGGCTAGAGAGAGAGGTCGAAGATCAGTCAGTGAGCTGCAAAAGCTATACCTCAAGCGAGCGCGTGCGGAGGATTGCCAAACGCATGGATGGAGAAAAGGATAGAGGGGAGGAAGCAGCCATGACGTTGAGCATGAGCAGCTAAGCTGAAGAGGCGATCAGGCAAGACGTACAGAAGCCATGGGGGAGAATCTAATGACGGGGAGGGGGGGCGACGGAGAATCAAGGGTGAGGAAATTGAAGAAAGCAGAAAGAGGCTGTAAAAGACAGGCAGCAAGAGAAGAAGGAGATGATGGGGAGAGAGACACAAAGCAGAAGAAGAGTGGGAATGGGGAGTAAGTGAGGGAAGAAGATGGGGGGATTCTGGGAGGAGAACAGCAACAGCCAGCAAGCAGCAGTGAGTGGTTGAAGCAACGGACACCCAAGAGAGGTTTGGTTTGACGGGTTTGCCGTCTTTGGCAACACAACGACATCCCCGCTTAGGTAAGCATCCACCAGGGGCAGCTCTTTTTCTCTCCATGCTCTACTAACCAAATAATCCAATTAATCCAAATAAAGGGCGCAAGGGATTGACGGTCAAATAAGACACGCACACTCTAACTTAGCTGTGCCACTAAATGAACAAAGGAGCTTGTGCAGTATTCAATTCAGACCGGCCAACCTGGCTGGTGGTGGAAGCAAACCACCCCCTTCTACACTGTAACACAAGACCTTGAAAAGCACCGACAGGCTACCAAACTACATTGCATACATACATGCTCCTCATTGGTATCTGACCTCAGAGCTCAGAGCTCAGAGACATCTGCTCATACTCACTTTCTTCCTCCAGGACTTCAAGTCTCCTATACACGGCCTGCTGCAGACAACGAGGACCCTGCAGTGCCAACAAAGCAAAATGCCCTCCCACTGTAGGCCGCGCTCGACACAAGACAGGGACCCCCGAGCGGCCTCCTTTCGCTGATGTGGCGATGTAGCGATCGGAAAACGGCCAGTGATGTTTGCCGTTGGTCATATATCTCCACAAGTCGTCAACGAACTCATCGCGGGTGGTGGAGTCCAACGTCCCAGCCAGCCACATGTTCCAGTCCGACTTGGCCCAGTCCTGTCGGTCATCCAAGGGTACACCATACTCCGCTCGGACCGATTTGAAGAAAGTATTTTCCATGTCATATGCGGCCTTGGGAAAGGTGCGTAGGCCTAACAACACATCAGGGTAGAGATTGTACGGAATCTTCCAGGAGGCCGGCTTTCCTGGGTACTGCAGCGCAAAGTGTGTCTTTTGCGCGTCCACCCCCAATCCCCGAGAGAACAGCAGCTCGGCTCTTTTGTCGCCAACACGCGAGTATTCGGAGAAGCCTGTCAGCTCCCCGAATGCCTTGATACCAACGGCAGCCTTGATCGCAAGGTTAGTCTCATTGGCCAGAGGTCCAGCGGCGTCGTTGGATGACAACTGCTCAGCTATGTCGATGCCATTATCGACCAGATAATCTGCATAGCCCTGGAGAAGCTCGGTGTACTGGGACGCCCAGTCTGTATCTCCCGTGGCACGAACATAGGCGAGTACGAGAACCAATAGGTTCCCGCATTCCTCGATTGGCATTGGTTCTGCTTGTTGATTGTCGTGGCCAACTGCATTCGGATAATGTGAGCCCATATCATGGATCACGTAAGGCTGCCGCCAGCGTCCGGCGGCGAGGTACCTCATCATGGGCTCTAGCAGAAGTCGGATATAGTTTGGGTCCAGAATATAGTAGATAGGGAAAGCAGGCATTATGACGTCCACCGTGTTGATGTTGCCATCGCTGGAAAGCTCTTTGATGAACGCTAACACATCTGTGATATTCAGCGTGTCATTAGGAATGGTAATCTCAATCCCTGCATAGGCCTGCCGACTCGACAAAGTCACAATGTCAGCGTATTTCTGCCCTGCAACGGCGGCCGCCTGTTTCGCCATCTCCAAATCAAGAGCGTGTGACTCTCGAAGAGCATCGGGGTAATCATTTAAGAAGTGCGCAACTGCTTGCTCTGTTCTGGGGTACAAGGCCCGGTAGTATCCTGTATACGGCCTCCCGAAGTAGTTGATTGACTCTTCGCGCACATGCCCAACGGCAAAAGTTACGGACTGCGCGTTCACAAGAAATCCTAAGTCGTGAGCAACAGCAACAATACCCCCAGTCGTCAGGAATTGGTTGGCATTATCTAGCTTTCCAGTTTTCGCAAATTGGGACTGCACATCTTTTCGTTCTCCCGAGGCATACGAGAGGCTTGAGTACAAGGTAGATTGAGAGGCTAGGACGGCTTCGCCCCAAGCTGCCATGTCACTTTCCTCGGAGTACGGAATCGCATTCTCCGATCGTAAGGAGTACATAGCAGTAGCATTCGCATAAAGAAAGCCACAAGACGTAGATTCTGACTTTCCTGTCCAGCTTTTGTCAATGCTCGAGTAGATCTGAACATTGTTGGATGACGCTCCAGAAATCGAGACTGTCAGATAGCCTGAAGGTAAGATAGTCAGCACGCAGCCGACGAGTGTCATGCATAGAGCCCGCCTTACTGAATGGTAGGGACTGGCGAAGGTAGTTAGAGGGCGAGATGGGTGAAAAGAAGTCTAGTGTAAGTGTCACCGAGCCAGCAGTGAGAGTGAAGATGGAGTGTGTGGCAGTGTATTCTGCACTGCGAACAGTAGCAGGGCGAATGAGTTTATCAGAGCCCTTGACGTTCATCAGACTATAAGCCTGGCCATCTACACGAGCCATAATGGACCAGGTAAGATTCTGGCCAGTCCAGAACTGTGGCTCGGCCTCAGGGAGTCTCCCGACTTGATCGCTCGGCACCCATGTTGATAGGTATGGGCTTCGCACTGCCAGTGGATAAGATGGAGGAAGAACAGGTTGATGGAGAACGCTGGCCTGCTTGTTGGGCGTAAGAACGGAGAGTACGGTGGTCAAAAGTGAGCTCAGACCTAGGTTGGTAGTGAAGTCCAGATACATTGTGTATTCGCAGTGAAGTGAAGAGTACAATCCAAGGGAAGAAGCAGGAGGGAGGGAGGGAAGAGAGGAGGGGAAATTCGCTGGTGACGACGACTGGCCCGCCCTGACTGCTGATCACCAATTTCCATCCCATTAACACACCACCTTTCGCTTTCAACAGATGATGTTTTTTCCTTTTTGATCCAAGTCTGACACTTTCAAAGAGATGGTGCAAGCGATGTTCTGTCTAAAATGCTCTCTAGCCTCGACGCTCACTTTAAAGCTTGCAGTGCAAGGAACTCGCCGAAAGTCCCCCAGATGTGGCCTCATCCTCTCCCTTCAGAGCTCACCTTTAATTCTTTCAAAGCTTTCAGATATCTTTGCAGGCCTTGTCCATGTATTCAACCGCCATCACGAGGATCTCTCCATGGTACCAGGTGTAATGAACGGCCGGCCGGTGTAAGATCCGTTCCAAACTTGACAACCGTGCTTGGAACAGATACTGCGATTTTCCGGCTCATACCTAGCAATATTATCCAAAATTGCTCGTGAAGTTAGAATAGGATTCAGAAGTGTCAGAGGTAATCGGCTGGTTATGGCGACAGTACAATAGCTGACTACCTCGTTCTCTGGCTGGGTCCCAGAGGGACGTGCCGACAAGCTAAGCATAAAATCATAGATATTGAAACAGGACGAGTAGCATCTGGCACGTTCACCCGACAATATCCTGATAATTGGCCGTTTTCATGTGGGCAAAGAGCGCCGCGTCCTCATGAGCATATGCAGAATGTTTGCTCAGGGATTCTGACTCCTCATTGTCTGATCACCCTGGGCTTCTAACCCTTCGAGCTGAGGGCTTTTCGCCCGGTCGGCTTGTATGTCTCGACAAGGACGAGTAAGTAAGCCTGACCCCATTCCCGTTTACAATGACCTCGGGTGAAGCTGATGAACCAGTTGCAGATACGGCCCTGGCAAGCATGAGGGTGCAGCGTTGAGATAGCGTGCTTGACGGGGTTAAATTGCTTCGTAGTCATGGACTATCGGAGGTTTCGGCGGGGCGGGAACAGAGAGCATGGGAAGGCCGAAGAGAAAGTGAATGAGGAGATTTGAGAGAAGTTGGGGATTTCTGTTGTACATGACTGATAACAAGATGATATCATACCTATCAAAGGGAATCCGAGCACCAGTTGGCGTTTCGGCGGCGTCTTCCCTAGAGATAGTTCGCAACCTTGACCACCACAAAAAGCCCAGAGACTCTTCGCAACGTTCCCAATAAGAGCCAAGAGTTGTAAAGCTCATATCGAGGGCCACGTCCTTTCCGTGAATTTCAAGTATCGGTCCTTAACTCAGACAAATTGATATTGTACACACCTTGAGCATGGTACACTCTGCGTAAAATTGGGAGAGCGAGGCATGGAGCTTCCCCCTTTCGTCGGTAGCACGCCGTGTCCTGTCATATTTGTAATAGTCCACCGTTTGTGGATAAAAGAAACATGCTACCGTGACAGTAGCTTCCAGCGACCCGACGAATGCCAACTGAAGGGCATATAGCATCGAGTCTTCTGACCTTTGTCTATAATGTGTACAACTTCGACATTCGAGGCTGATTTTTCGCTAATGTTTCGTTCTTACTGTTTCGTTCTCGTCATCACGCTAGTGAGTTGATTGAAACCTCACTCTGGTTCATCGGTACCGTGCACTTGCCGGGAATTTCAAGCTTCAACTTCTTAGTCCTGTTCGAAGCTGGCTCAGCTCGATGCTAGCGTTGATACCGTTCCGATTGCCATGGACTGAGCTAAACGCGAATTGAGAGTGATTATGCCCAATACCCTAGCTCGATGCCCGCACTCTTTGGGGCATGCAACTCACCGCCAAGTGCATACAATTCACTTAGAGTTCTGGAATCGACCCCTCGTGCGTTTTTGCGCTCTGTGGAGTATACAGTACATGCTCTGCGACAGAGTTGAAGATCGCTTTGTGGACGAACCATTGTCGCAAGCCATTGCACGGCGGTGTGGCGAAAATTTCTTCGCGCGAAGGGCGTTAAAGGTGCCCTCCACGGTAAATTCAAGGCCATGCAAGAACAATTCAACGGGTGAATCGATTCGTAATGGTTCTTAGGATATCGAGTCCACCTGAAGGACGATGCCTTTACCTGCGGGGCAGCTAAATATGCAGGACGCCCCGGCCGCTCGGGGACTACTTGCACCGATGAGATCACAACTATCTCGGATATATCTGAACAGATCGCGGTTGCCATTTCGATTGAGTCGTAGCAACAATCTGCCAGAGCCACTTTCTCGAGGGGTATCAGTAATTGTTGAGGTTATCGATTACACTAAGTGGATGGATGGTGCAACGACGGTTTCAGACGCAGTCATAAGAGTAAATAGCAGAAATAGATAAGGTTAACTCTCGTTGCCAAGTTTGAGTATTGGGGTGTAGAAGCGCTCACGCACGGTCCTCAAGGTCAAGCAAACGTAAGATGCTGTTTATCACTTGAGATCAGACAGCGACCGGATTGTGTGTATGAAGGAGAGTGAGGATATGGGGCAGCAGTCGGTTGAGCCTTCCGCCCCCTTCCCCGGACTTGTTCCGCAACTATGATTGCTGCAACGGGGAGTTCCCGGGCTGCGATGCTTCGAGCTCTTTTAGAAACTGCAATCGGTCGAGGAGAGCCAAGGAAAGGAGCATAGAACGTGGATTTGTGTCTGCGGACAAGGGGTATCGTCTTAATGATCCGCTGGCATGCGAGCGTGGATGATCAACAGAAGAATACTCGTGGGCGCGAGAATGAAAATGATATAATAGATTGAAGCAATACCCAGGAAAGTCGGTACTTGGATGACGCTGGAAATTGAAAATTCGATGATGTGGTACAGATCCGAGTTGATCCCTGGGAAGATGATGCGAATCAGCCGAAGCACGAGGAGTTCGAGCACAGCAAACAGAAGAAAAAGCGCATTGTAATATACGAGAGAGAGCAGAAGTGATGAAGCGAAGGGGGATGACTCCAGGGGGTTGCCAGCGGTGATGAATGACATGACACTGCTGTTTGAAGACTGTTGAGGGTCTAAGGAATCGAGCATGATGGGCAGTGTAGTGTGTGAGTGAAAGACCGACGGTATTTATAGAATGGAGGGAAGGAAAGTTCCAGTCTGTGTATTTGACAGAGCTTTAGCAAGCAGGAAGAAATATACAAGAGGAAGAGAAATGGTCACAGAAAAGAGGGGATGTTGGCAGCGGACAACAAGCGATACTTATGCCGCTTAGCTCTGCAGAGAAGTTCAGCTGGTAGCGAAAGGGAAGAAAGAAGGCTGGTGAGATCCCTGGACTGATGAAAGTCGGTCGTTTGTCGTTCAGGCTCCTGTGGAGCCCAGGGGTGCTCACGCAAGGTAGTGTGAGGTCGATAACAAACGGAAGTGCGTTTGCTCATTCTGGATGAAAGAGCAGAGACAAACTGTCTTCCGTTCAACGGGAGCAGACAGAACACCGCAGTCTCGAATGCATCTGCCTGGCACAAAAAGAACCAGGATCCATCCAAGTAGGTTTCAGGACAGATGGAGATGAACAATTATTAGAATGGTATTAGTGAAATGCATATGCTAGTCTCAAAGATTGATCGGGTATCCCCAATGGAAACTGTAATAGTCTCAAAAAGCCCTCCGTAAAGACACTAGAAACGGTATCAAGAGAAAGACACAAAGATCTAATCAAATCGTGACTTCAAATATGGTACATGACATGGCAGTTAAACGATTATGTTAGTTAGTATGAATGTGGCGCCCCCTGATCGGCCACGACTAAGTGACGGTGGTCTTGCTCGGGTAAAACCTAGCAATGGAAGTCAGCATAGCTTCAAGGTATGAAAGTCAGGGGCTCTTCTTACCAAGCAGCCACGGCGATGATCAAGTACATCATCATGAGTAGAACACCCTCGAGCCAGTGCGACTTTCCATCGGCGATGAGATAGTTGACCTGCGGAGGTTAGTGCATGTCCACGGCGCAGGTGTTGAGGTACACACCAGAAGAACAGCAACAAATAGTAGGATCACCTGGAAACCGTCAAAGTAGAGGGTCATGTCATCATTGCCTAAGCAGCTGTTAGCGATTGGTCTCGACTCTTCTCCTCGACAACTAGACTGACCCATTCCCCACCCGATCACAATGATCAAGGGCAACACCAACAACGCGATCTGCATACTTGAGCCGACGGCCACGCCGATAGCCAAGTCCATCTTGTCCTTGCAAGCCACAGTGACAGCCGTCGCGTGCTCGGCCGCGTTACCAACAATGGGAAGAAGGATCAATCCCACAAAGGTCTCCGAGATGTTGCCGGTCTGCGTGAGAGCATCGATAGAATCAACCTGACCAAATTAGCCGTTGTCGAAGTAAGATGAGGCAAAGGATCAAGCATACCATGAACTCGGCACAAAGCGCAACAAAGACAGTCGAGATGACAAGTGTCAGCACGGCCACCCAGATGCTGAGCTGAGGCTGTTCCTCATCGTCTGGTTCCTGAAGCTCCACCTTCTGGGCATGCTCACCAGCCATCGAGGCCGTCATCTTGCCAATCTGCGCGATCCCCCGACTGGCGTCGCCTTCGTTGATTTTCTGGCGTCTTCTTTCCACCTTGGGGCTAGGGGCGTTGTAGATCTCTGTGTGCGACTTGAGCTGGAAGAACAGATAACATCCATATACAACCAGTAAGATAACACTGGTGCCGCGGGACAGTTCCGCAATTCCAGTCTCTCCAGCATCTGACCAAGCATGGAAAGCTGTAGGAATGATAAGACTGGCCACAGCCAACGCCAAAAGACTGGCTGCAGTTTGTGCAACCACGGGATTGAAGTGTTGCTCCAGGCGGTCGATGCCGCCGAAGAAGAAACACATACCCATGACCAAGAGCAGGTTGGACAGCATACTACCGATCAAGGACGTCTGCACAATCACGACTTCTCCGTCAACCAAGGCGATGATCGCGACAATCAGTTCTACCGCGTTACCGAAGGTAGCATTGAGAAGACCACCGATGGTCTCGCCAGTACGCATAGCGATCTCCTCGGTCGCATAACTCAGCATGGCGGCAAGGGGAATAATGGCGATGAAGTTGACCACGAAGACCGCCACCGGAGGGACGTTGACATAATTCAACGCAATTCCCACGGGTGCGGCGAAGAGTAGAACATTGATCCAGGAATTGAACAGTGTGGCTTTCAGTTGTCCGACGGCAGTAAATTTTTGCTTGTCGGGCATAGACTTGCTGGAGTCGGCGGTCATGCGATCCTCGTCAGCGCTGGATCGGAACGTGTTGTCCAAAAAAGTCCTTCGCTTTCGTGGTCGCGCCTCGTCGGGCTGATCGGGTTGCGGCACATTGATGGGGTCATGGCTGCGCAGCGACCGCTCGGTGTCGGCCTTTTCGGCGCTGTCAATGCGATTCAACTGATCTGTACCGGCAGACTGGGGTGGGAAGGTATCCGCATGCTCTGGACCGGCCAGGCCTTGGGTCATATCTCTCCGACGTCGGCGCTCCTCGGAGAGTCGCAAACCACCTTCGGAAACCACAGGAGTGAGTCGGTTCTCCAGTTGAATGGAGTTGGTCCGCCGCGGTCGCGCCCGGAATTTCTTGAAGGGATTATGTGTCGAGGGTTCGCCTTCATTGTCATACCAGGCCAGCTTTCTGGCCTGTCGTCGGTATATATCTGATGCCGGGAGCACGGTCAGCAAATGGCCCCATCGCACGAAAAAGGGGCAGGCTCACGCATTATTACGGTGGGAGTGGATGTTTTTGTTCAGAACTGAAATGGCTCTGGAGGATTGAGGACGAGCTTCTTATACTACATAGACATTAGGCGACAGGCGATCAAGTAATAGATCTTTGGGGCGATGGCATGGCGATCCAACAAGCTTCAGGTGCGCAGCACGCCGAGGCTTGTTAGGCGACCCAACAGAATGGTACACAGCTGTCATTGCAGCAATGATCCAATGGGAATGAAGCCGTTCAGGCACTTACAAATTGACGTGGAGTCTGAAGCAAGCAGAGAGAAAGCGATGAAGTCTTGAGAAGTGTGGCTGAAGCGGTGGAGAGTTGCGCAACACAGCCGCCTCGTTGAAGCCACAGGGAAGCAGACGAAGGCAATGAATGATATCCACCTGCTGGAAAATATAGACTGCGAGGAGAATGGAAAGGAGGGAAATGGGCTCTAATCAGACCACCAGCGAGGATAATAAAAAGGAAAGACTAGACTACCCAAGCGAGGGAGAAAAGAGGGAGATCTGGCGGGTTGACTTCCTGCAACGAATGACCCAGCAATGACAACAACGCAAGACCGACTGGGAAACGAGTGACAGCAGCAAGGGAGTGAAAATCCCACTCGAAAAGGGATCAATGTTGAAGGGAAGATTAAGTTTTGGTGGATGACCACAATCACACTGCATTATTGGATCGGGTTGCAGTAATTCGATGGCACAGCCACAATCTAAAGCGCCAACAATCTCCACGACATAATCATCGTCGTGGTGTTTCCACGGGTGAGTTACGCAGATAGCCGCCTTGGCCATTCTTGTTGATTCTTATTATTCCGCCGGTTCTTCTCTTTTTGTTGACTTGTTGACATTATTGAAATAGAATGAGGAGGGGAGGGGGTAGAACCGCAGAAGTGATAACCATGGTGCTGAGGATATTCCCGGTCGGGTGGTCTCCGATAAATGTTCAGGCACTGCCATCTGTTGAACAGACCAGACACAACAGGACAGGACACACAACACGATGCGGCCCAGCGACGTAATCAACTCTGCCAAGCCCTCCGATTGTCTTCGACTAGCAGCAGAACCAATGTGCGCATAACTCTTGGCCGCCACCAAAAGAGGACCTTGCCCCCCTTTGCCTATCACACTACGGAGTAGACTACCGTACTCGCTTCCAGTTTTTGCGGCGCACTCACACTCTCAGGCTCGGTTGCGGGCAACCTCAGAGACAGTTTGGGCAGCAGTAACAGACGGGATGATGCACGAGGCGTCAGTCAGACATTTTGAGAGGCTGCAACGGCCTCAATCTCAAGTGCATCTGTGCACTTCATTCATTCATTTCATGGCCAATCTCTCGGTGCTGGCGTCATTTCATCATTCAACAAAGTTCAAACATTTCCGGCCCCTGGCGTGTTTCAACCGAGTGTTGGTGGGGTGGGACCCAGGAGTCCAAGACTGCTTCTTCACCGCTTATCTAATCACACGTGATATTATACAGCCACCTGTGGCTGATGGGTAGCTGCGCCTGTGCAGCAGGCAAGCCGCACCTGCATCAGCCACATCAGCCACATCAGCCACACACGCGGTCTCTCTCCCTCCTTCTCTCGCTGTGAGCATTGGCAGGCAGAGCGTCAGCGGTGTTGACCCATATTTGGGTCAACGAAGACTGTACTAGGTATGCGACCTAGCACCATATGCATCTAAAAAAAAAAAGAGTCAGTTAGGTAGGCGTCACCTCTCTGCGAAATCCCTAGACTATGCTCTACTGGCGCAAGGCCTGCAGATTTGTGTCACTATTTAATCGGATCGAGCGCCCGCAAAAATCTCTCTCTCTCTCTCCGCAAAGCCCCAAAGATGGATCATTGCAGGCGGCGTCGATATCGTGCACTTCTCGATGAGCATGAAATGAGGGTTCTCCGCTGGGTTGCGCAGGCCGTGACACCTTTGGATTTCACGTCCACGAGGGTTGGCAGTAATGCCGGAGAATGACCTTTTGACCTCCTTGCATCGATGCCTGTGCTGTCTCGCCTGCATCCAAGCGATGAGGTCATCCTGAAATCGATGGTCATCGGAGTTTATACATAGTATTTGTCGACAACAATTGGATCCAGAAAAGGGGTGGCGGGCAAAAGGAGAAAACGCGACTTCCCGACAACAAACAAACAGAACAGAGAACTCAGTGGTTGGACTAGTGATGCCACTAGGATGTCGCTCCTGGATGATCCCAAAGCTTGTTCCTCTGTTCAGCCGATTATCCCTCGGAGTAAGTATCTGGCCTCCTCCTGTGCCGAAATCCGTGGTGAAAAGGACTGACTACACCGTATTGCACAGCATCTCGCATCCACCAGTCAGCCAGTCAGCCAGTCAGCCGGATCGGTCGGATTCGGTCAGAACGCATGCACATCCATCCTCGAACATCCGGACGAGATGTATGTATTCCTGCTGGTCGGGTCAGTACATGCATGAAGAGAAAAAGACCATGAGCGACATCGACGGAGTATTGTTTAAGCCTTGATCCACTCAAACAAGCCTTTTGCCTATCTATATTCGAGACACGCTTGTGGACAAGGGCATGCATTGCCATCCTTTGCCGCAATGAATTTTATTTTCAGATGGGAAGAGGGTGTATTCGGTACGGGGTGATACCTGGTCTTACTTGGTCTTACTTGGTCTTACCTGGGGGCACAAGAGGCGACGTAAGCTCAGGGCCCTTTGAACCCTGACTCCCTGAGACCCTGCGGCAGGGTCTGAGGGGTCTGCCTGCCTTACGATTTACCGTACAAGACTTGGTATGGTCACAATACAAGGAGGAAATTGCCCAATTTGCCCCTTCGACAGGCCCGCTTCTTCCTACTGTTTCGGATAGCGGGACTGGAACGACCAACAAATCTGAATCACCTTGGCCCCCCATCAAGTGTCTCGACTGAGCCGTGGGCGTGCATCTCAATAAGCCACCGACCCACCTGCCACCTGGTGAATGGCCAGGTCCCAGACTGATTAGCGGCAGCACCGGGACTGGCATGCTGATTTGTCGAGAGCAGAGCGGATCAGGAACAAGGCACTCTTCCATTCTTTTCTTGGAAACGGTAAGAACCGTGTAATGACCGTCCTTACCATACCCACAGTCAGGGTCTCGAGCCAATCAGCCATCAGGGTCCTGGGGCAAGTGGGTCGTTTACTTGGGGTCTCAACCCTGAATTTGACCCCTGGCTGATGGTAAGAGCGAGGTATTCGCCCTCCTGGAACCGCCCCGATTACAGCCAAGCTGAACAGGTAGGTAGGTATTGCCACTGGCCTCCCAATAATGGATTGTAACCGAACCCGCCGTTTTGTGCCACGATGGATAGTCTAGTTAGGATGTGGGATGTGGGAGGTGGTGGATAGACTCGAGTTCGACGAGATTGAAGAGAGGTGCCTGTCCTCATCATGGATGTCATGTATTGCGGATACAAGAGCAAGACAAACAGTGGATGCACAACAACAATAACAACAACAACAACAACAACATCATCAGCAGCATTAACCCTCCAATCAGTGTTGCCTACTGTCCCCTGAGTTCCCATCAGTCTTAGTAGTTAGTAGTCTAGTACTCAGTAGTTGTGCTATTTTTACAGGCGTCGTAATCTGGTTCCTCTTGGATGGACCGACCATCATTCTACCTACTCCGTAGCAGGGCTCTAGGCAGGGGCCAAACTGGGCTCCCATTCTTATCTTCCGCCTCCCCCCAGCCATCGCTCTTTCTCTCCTTCCCTCTTTCTGATTCCTTGTTTTCTCTTTTTCTCTCCAACCTCCCCCCAATCAACCTCAACAACATCATCCCACTTCAACGGCAGAGTGTGCGCCGTTAGTCACTCGTTCTTTCTTTTTAGACTTTTGTTTCTGCCCGGTGCGGTTCAATCTTCTTTGCTCTCACTCCATTCGGATTCCAAGACTCTCGTTCATACCCCCTTCCACGGTTGACCATGAAGTACAACTCTATCGCCCTGGCTGGGGCTTCGATGCTCCTGGGCCGTGCCATTGCTGCCGACTTGCCTGAGATTGCCATCAAGGTATGTGCACGGGGGAGACAAGGAACACGAGTGAACTGGTGTTGACTGTTTGATTGGTGTAGGGCAACAAGTTCTTCTATTCTAACAACGGAACCCAATTGTGAGTCTTCCTGCCAATTTGTATCGAAGGTGTCAGCCGTGACTAACCAATTCCAGTTACATGCGTGGTGTCGCCTATCAGCGTACGTCGATGGAGCATTGCGTCAAAAACTTACGAGGGGCGAATCTAACCGGTTTACAGAGGACTACACGGCCAATGGCACCTCCTCGGACAACAACGACTACATCGATCCCTTGGCCGATGCCACCTCTTGCAAGCGGGACATTCCCTACCTGCAGCAGCTCCGCACCAACGTGATCCGTACCTACGCCGTGGACCCCACCCAGAACCACGACGAGTGTATGACCGCCCTCGCCGACGCCGGCATCTACCTGATCACCGATCTGTCGTCTCCTTCCCAGTCCATCAACCGCAATGACCCCCAGTGGAACACTGCCTTGTACGACCGCTACACCAGTGTGATCGATGCCTTTGCCAACTACACCAACGTGATCGGCTTCTTTGCCGGTAACGAGGTCACCAACGACAACAACAACACTGATGCGGCTGCTTACGTCAAGGCTGCGGTCCGCGACATGAAGAAGTACATCAAGGCCAAGAACTACCGCACCACCCTTGGTATCGGTTACGCCACCGACGACGATGCCACCATCCGTGACGACCTCAAGGACTACCTTGTCTGCGGTGACTCCGAGGACATGATCGACTTCTTCGGTTACAACATCTACGAGTGGTGCGGTGACTCCTCCTTCAAGACCTCTGGATACCAGGCTCGTACCGAGGAGTTCAAGGACTACCCCGTTCCCGCTTTCTTCTCCGAGTACGGCTGCAACGACCCCTCCCCTCGTACCTTCACCGATGTCCCCGTTCTGTTCGGTAGCGACATGGATGACGTCTGGAGCGGTGGTATTGTCTACATGTACTTCCAGGAGGCCAACGACTATGGTCTGGTCTCGGTTTCCGGCAACAGCGTCAGCACCCTAAAGGATTTCTCCAACCTTTCGTCTCAGATGCAGAAGGCCACCCCTACCGGTGTGAACAGCAACAGCTGGTCCGCCTCCAACACCGCTACCAGCAGCTGCCCCACCGTTGCTTCGGCCTGGGAGGCTAGCAGCTCTCTGCCCCCTAGCCCCAACGACGCCCTGTGCGACTGCATGGAGGAGTCGCTGAGCTGCGTTGTCAAGGACTCTGTCTCCTCTTCCAAGTACGGTGATCTCTTCGACTACATCTGCGCTTTGAACGACGGCAAGTACTGTGCCGGCCAGGCCAGCAACTCGACCAGCGGAACCTACGGAGCCTACAGCGTCTGCTCGACCAAGCAGCAGCTGAACTTCGTCATGAACCAGTACTTTAGCGCCCAGGGTGCCTCGGCCAGCGCCTGTGACTTCAGCGGCAAGGGTACCACCACCTCTTCCCAGTCTCCCACTGGCACTTGCTCTTCCTTGTTGAAGGAGGCTGGTACTGGCGGCACTGGCTCCGTGACCTCTTCCCCCACTGGCGGCTCTGCTGCCAGCGCCAGCTCCAGCTCCTCCGAGGGTGCTGCTGGTATGGGTGTCAGCCCCATGGCTGTCTCTGTTGGCAGCTGGCAGCTGGGCGCTTACGCCGTGACTGCTGTGGGTGCTGCCCTCGGCATGATCTTGCTGTAAGCGCAAGACGGAACGGTGACTGGGTGGAGGAAGCAGCCAGAAAATGATTATAACTGTAACCTTTACCGTTGGATTCTTAGCCGTACATAATTGAACCGATTCTGTATACGTTCGTTTTTGAGATTGAATTGATGTGTTCATGTTTGTCCTAATCCTCTCATGCCAACTCATGTGCTTTGAGTGTAGTGTAGATGGATCTAGCCTAGATGAAACATTGGTTTGAAATCTCCGTCGTATGCGCTGTTAGTTAATCAGCATATCATCTGCTTGCGGCCCAACAGTGGGTTGAGGTGCATTTATCATGCAGCTGCAAGCCAACCGGCTCGGCGGGGCGATCCGAGGTCGGCGCGTGAGAGCGCAATCGCCGAGCGGTTCGATGGAGTCGCTTCGGCCACACAATCGGGATACCGAGAGAGGAGGGGAGATATAAATGGCTGCATTCTCGGAGAAGCTGGTTCAAGTAAATGTTTTTCAATTGTATAGAAAGATCAATAGAATAAAGAAAAGACCATGCCGGCCATGGGAAAATTCTTGAGTGGTGATGACCTCGAAAGAGCAGCCGCCGCCACCACCACCACCACCAACAGCACACCACTGCCGACCGAGCATCCAACCGCACCTTCATCCTCCCTCTCCTCCTCATCCTCATCAACACACACACTCGACCCGAACACCGATCCACACCAACCACAGCAACAATGGACCGTCCGCTCATTACTCTCCCTCCACTCCCCACCCCAAAAGGGCTACGAGCTCCCGTTCTGGCATAAAGCCATCATTCTCTTCATCGTGAGCTGGATGACCCTCGCCGTGACCTTCTCGAGCACGAGTCTCCTCCCCGCGACGCCGGAGATCGCGGCCGAGTTCGCCACAACCACGGAGATCATCAATGTCACCAACGCGGGCGTGCTGCTGGCCATGGGGTTCTCGTCGCTGATCTGGGGCCCCATGAATGCGTTGATCGGGCGGCGCGTGGCGTACCTGTTGGCGATCTCCGTGCTGTGTGGGTGTTCGGTGGGCGCGGCCGTGGCGGGCGATATGCGCGTGTTCACGGCGATGAGGGTGTTGGGTGGGTTGACCGGTACGGGGTTTATGGTGACGGGCCAAACGGTTTTGGCGGATTGTTGGGAGCCTGTAAGTTTCTTTATTTTCTTTGTGGTTTGAGCAAAAGGGCGAGGGGGTTGGGTCTCTGTATCCTGAAGTATATCCTGAACGGGGGCGATGGGGATATAGGAGATGATCTTCTAGCTTCATGCATAGCACTCATGGTATCGTTCTTTTGGTACGTCAACTGACACCCTCCAGACGGTCCGAGGTACCGCAGTTGGCTTCTTCATGGCAGGCACAGTCGCCGGACCAGCCATTGGTGAGTATACACTCCCTGCTGTCTCTGTCCGCTTTTCTAATGATAACAACAACAACAACCAGGCCCCTGCATCGGCGGCATCATCGTCACCTTCGCCAGCTGGCGCAACATCTACTGGGTGCAAGTCGCCATGACCGGCTTCGGGCTCGTGCTGGCCATCCTCTTCGTCCCGGAGCTGTCGTCGGTTGACGCCAAAAAGTCCATCACCCTCGAGGAAAAAGCCCCTGCGCGCCGTTCTCCCTCCGAGCAATTCAAGCACATCCTGCAGGCCTTCAACCCGATGCGCGTCTTCAAACTCTGGATCTATCCGAACATCTTCCTAGCTGTACGTTCATCTCCTTTTCCTCTCAGGAACAATCCTAACAAAAGAAAAGGACCTCACCTGCGGCCTCCTCTCGACCTTCCAATACGCGATCCTCACTTCCGCCCGCTCCATCTTCAACCCGCGCTTCCACCTCTCCTCCGCTTTGGTCAGTGGCCTCTTCTACCTCGCCCCCGGCGCCGGGTTCCTGGTCGGCAGCATCGTCGGCGGCCGCCTCAGCGACCGCACCGTGAAGCGCTACATCGCGAAACGCAACGGCACGCGCCTCCCGCAGGACCGGCTGAACAGCGGCCTGATCACCCTGCTGGGGGTGCTCCCGGCCGGCGCGTTGGTGTATGGGTGGACCCTCCAGGAGGGCAAAGGCGGGATGGCGGTGCCGATCATCGCGGCGTTCTTCGGGGGCTGCGGCCTCATGGGCAGCTTCAATGGGCTGAACACCTACGCGGCAGAGGCGCTGCCGCATCGGCGGTCCGAGGTGATCAGTGGGAAGTACATCATCCAATATCTGTTTTCGGCGGGGAGTAGCGCCGCGGTGGATCCGCTGATCGGGGCCATTGGGGTTGGGTGGACGTTTACGATTTGTGAGTTCTCTTCGGTGGGGGGTTTGGTTTTGGTGATAGGGTTGTTGCTGACTGTGGTGACTGTTCAGGCGTCTTCTTTTCGATCTTCGGGGGCGTGTTGGTGATGCTGATTACAAGGTGGGGGCTGGATATGCAGCGGTGGGTGCAGAGGAGGGTTGGGGCGGATCCGTGATTACTCCAAGTGGGTAATGAGGTTATGATTGATGATTGTTTATGATTTATTGGGTAATGTCTTGTGTTTGGGGGTGGGGATGAGATAGCGAGGGGTTGGGGGTGTTCTCCCAAGCATGAGCAGTGGTATAAAGAATAATATAGAGACTGCATATTGATCGTGATAGAGTTGACTTAGCTTGTTCATCTTGAATAAACAGGTTGAACGAGGGTCTAGCCGTTTGGTAAAAGGTAAGTATTGGTATGGTATGGTAGGATATACCGTGAACAAGGTGTGGACGCTAAGAACGAGAATTTTCCCCCAGATTTTTGAAAAGGATCAGTATCACAGAATATGCAACAAATGAAATGTTGAAGCAGAGTAGGCAGGTCTGAGGGATCTTCAACATGACTAAATCTCAAGAAAGGGAATGTAGATTGTAGCATAGATATTGCTCATCTTTATGGATCAGGGTTTTACCACGGAATTGACGGTATTATAGCGACGACCTATGGTCTGACCCGGCAAGTGGTTCCTTTGAGGATCGCTGTGGTGATGGATGATGGTTCGTATTGTGGGGATCTATTTTTTTGGGATTGGGCGGTATTCCCTCCGCAATCTGGCCTCCATCCGAAGCTCTCCGCGGTCATGTCTCCCCTAGATCACTACACTAGTGCATCAGGTATCATTCCCAGAGCCTCTACAGGTCAATGACTACTGGTCATCCCCTCATAACCCCCCTCATTCAGATACGTATCCACCTGCAGCATCCCCAGATCGAAATCACTCTGTGCCAGAAAGTCCTGCATCGTAGGTTCCATAAACGCCATCGCCGTCGTGAACCCCCCACTGCTGTCCCGGAGCTCCACGGGCAAGAACTCCTCGACCCCGGCCGCGGCGGCCGCCGGCCCACCATCCACCGTCGTCGACACCACCGCCGCATTCGCCACCCCGGGCCCGATCGCCGCCGTCGCCGCCGCGGCCGCATTCTGGCTCCGCCGGCGGTCGCTCAGGTACCGCCCCAGACACTCGTGGACCACCTTGAGGTGCTGGTAGAACTCCGACGCCGCCAGGTTCCCGTTCTCGCTCATCGAGCGGAGCACCTCCAGCCCGGTCTCGAACGAGTTCATGTCGGCGGCGCTCCCCATCGGCGTGAAGCTGGACATGGCGAGGACCAGGGCGGACGAGAACAGGTAGTGCGCGTGGAAGTAGCCGAACGTGGGCATGGAGCCGTTGATCCACCGTGTCAGGATGATGGAGTGGGTGTGCCGGGCGGCGTGGACGCACGCCTCCCCCAGCGTAAGCACGGGCTGGGAGATCTCCTCCGACGCGGGCTCGCTGAGCTTGATGAGGATGTGGAGGAGGGTGGGGCGCGTGGTGATGATGACACACTGAGTTGTGAGTTAGGTAGATGCAACCCAAGCCACCTCGGTGCACTGTGTACGTACCTGGTTGAAGGATAAATGCAACGATCCGACCGGTGTCCGACTCGTTTCCGGTTCCTCTTGGTTCAGACGTAGATGCTCCGGCAGCGTTTCCACCCAGTTCTTCAGCGCTTTCAGCAACTTCTGCACGCGCTGCAGAAACGTCTCGCTGTACTTGCGTCGACTGTACAGTTTGGCGATCGTCTCGCCAACAATCCGCGCTAGACTGATGTTCGCCTTCAAGTATTCCGTGTCCGAGAACTGCTCCTCGTGCAAGGCGATCGGAGTGATCGTCGACGGCATGTCCAGATGGATATCATCGTCCAGGATCTGAGACGGCACTCCCATCTTCGAGCCCCACATGCGATCGAAGATGTAGATCGTCCACCAGATACGCACGCGGTGCTGGCGTTCCACCGGGTCGATCAGCTGCGATTCGGGAATGTTGTGGTTCAGACCAATGGTCAATCCCAGCCGCATCGCGCTGCCGATCAGCACGTAGGCTGAATGCCTCCGGTTCAGGTAGTAGGAGAACAAAGACTGGATCATCAGCAGAGTCCCCGCAGCCTGGATCGAATGCATACCAGCAACAAGAGCGTCTCCAAATGGGCGATGCTCGTCCGCTCCGGCAGCACCTGCACGAGGCTGAGCGCACGCGCGAAATACTTGGTCCCTGGCACCCGCGACCCCGAGGAGGGCTCATTTCGCATGGAGTATGCCTCGCCAAAGGCGAAGAGCGCGAAGAACTTGCATTGGTGGACCTTGGCCTCGAAGTCGCCCGTCTGGTAGATCTCCTCGAGCTTCTCCGTCGTCGATTTGCGCAGGACCAGATGGTAAATGAACCCGATCTGCCGCAGGGCGATCTTCAGCAACAGCCGGGCCTGCTGCAGACTCGGCCAGCCAATCTCGCCCGCGGTGGCCGCACTGATGCTCTCGTCGTGGACGTACTGGGTGCGAGGGATGTGGGCGGTGGCGTTACTCCCAGTCAGGAAGCGCCGGAAGCGCGTCGCAAACGCGGTGCAGGCGGCCTCCCCAATGAAGATAGGCGGCGCGGAGGGATCGTAAGGATGGAACCAGGCGCGATCCCCGATTAAGGGATTGCGCACGTTGTTGGGATTCCCAGTTTCCAGGTCCGGGGCTTCTGCCGGCACTCGTGACGGCCCGCGCCCCGAGACGCCGCCCCCCTCTGGGTCCGCATCGGTCGGATGCTCCGGCGCTCGGGGCTGTTCGCGCAGACGCTGGTTCTCCGCTAGCAGGCGTTGCAAGAAGCTGCAATAGTGCTGGCATTAGATCAAACCCTGTGTAAACTGGAAGCGTGAGATGTGATGTGATGGAAAGTCCTCCCTCCCTACCTTTCGCTTACTTTCACCTGCCGATCGCGAGGCGTGTACTCGCATTCATCGGCACAGCCAACCTGCCGGCATTTGAGACACGGCTGACCCCCTGAGCATTTAATCTTGTGCGAATGGCAGCGCTGGCATCTAGATTGGCTCATCAGCCGATTTGCTGGGATGCCATCTGCAAGGGGGGGGAAGAGGAAGGAAAACATACGCGATGAATTTCGGCCGCTTGGGGATCTCGACCTCATCGGTCGTTCTGCTATGTTTTCTACGGTTCATCAGTCATGACGAGACAGAGGTAGTTGTCAAAAAAAGAAGTTAGAGGAATTTGAGATCGGTAGATGATCGTCATGTACGTGGTTGATAGTAGTTTCTTGAGTTTCAAGTTCGTACCGAGTAGTTCCTGCCAGTGTCCGGTTGGAAGGAGTTGAAGTTGAGTTCGGCCGGCAATCGATGAATTCTGCCGACCTTCCGGCCGATCCCCGATTAGGCATGAAGGCATTGGATGATGGATGGATGGATTTATGGATCGATGAATCAATGGAATGTTCGACTCCCGTCGGAAATGTACAATAGGTGAAGTTACTCGGCTTCCAACTTAGAATTAACTTTCAAGTATCCAGCTGCGCGTAGTACAGTCACCCCTTTGGGAATTCTGCAAGCTTTGTAACGGCCGTAAGTCGGGACTATTCGGTGATACTATTCAGTAAAACTGTGTGTGTATGTGTGTGTAAGTTATGTGATCTACAGCCGCGTTGGCTGGCTGGCTGGCTGTTGGTGTGGCTGGCTGAACTTTTATCTTTTGTACTGTACCTGCTCTATAGCAGCTCCAATATCTCGCCACCTTTGCAAGCACTCCCCCCCTTCTACGATGGAGATGATTTGGTGGTAGTTGTGGTAATTGTTGATTGTGGTGGTTCCACCTGGCAGTTCCCTCCCCCCCCCGCAGTCCGTGTGACTGCCCAGTGCCTATCAAATGTGGTGTCCAGATGTTTAGCTCTGCCCGTTCAGAGGCTCTCATCCCTGCACGGGAAACAATCCTTAACAACCTTGAAAATCCTAGTGAGTACTGACTCGCTCAGATTCTTGCTGCGCGACTCAAGGACGAATGCCATGGGCTGCCTTGCTTATTTAACCAGTTAATTGGGTCGGTTATAACCCAATTGCGAGTCCAGCGGATCGTCCCAGCTGGAAACTTTCCATACCCACTCACAGCACGCTCGGGTTCTCAGCCCGCCCATCACAGTTGGAATCCCCATGTGGTCTGCTTGGGTGTCGTAGATCCGACCATCGGGTGAAGAGCTCCTTCTTCCGGCTTGAGTGGTGATCGTCTTCTTTCAAGTGTGCGGATTCCTCTTCCGCTACGCTAGTAGACGGGTTTGGAATTGACCTGGTAACTTACTGAATAGTACCGAGTAGCAGATTCGGCCGATTCTCCCATGTCAATCGCCGAGTCAATGAATGCTCGGCCAGCGGGAAAATCCCTGGTTCTATCGGCGGGGGTGCTGCAACAAAATCAAGGCAGTCGTCGCAGATGACAAGCAACAATGGAAATGGCTCAATAGGAGAGGGGAAGGGAAAACTGAGCCCAATTTAATCCTCTGAATTCTTTCCTGGTCGCAATGGGGGTCTCCTTCATTTCGATCCCGAGAAGCAGAGAAGCAGAGAGGAAGAATGCCACAATCGCTTAAAATCAATTTTCCTAGGGCACTGGAAAGGGTAACCAGCCTCTCCACTGAGCTGAGCACTAGAGAGAATGAGCAAACGTCGAAGCTTCAAAGGCCTTGACGATCGTGGGTTCTGACCAATGGAGGAGGATCGGCGACGTGTTCGAGCTGGTGAGGATCAATTCAAGTTGAAAATGCAGATTTGCAGGCCTCGCTTTCGACGAGGTTCGTATTTCTCGACCTCCAACCGGACGGCAAGGAACTCTCTCTCTCTCTCCTGTCTTTCTCTCCGTCTCGCTCCCACCACTCACTCACTCTCCGACTCCTTCTTATCCTTCCTGTTCGGTCCGGCTTGGGTACCCCAATTCTCTCTTCAGTTCCCTCATCCCCTGATCCCCTCGCACCCTCTTGTCTCCATTCAACTTTCAGTTCAGGCACTTTGATGGGGAACCACGAAACCACAATAGGGAAACTCCAGGAGAATCTATGAGAAAGGCCCCGCCCAGACGTGGGTGAGTGTGATTGATTAGTCCCATATGTGTGGGGGCACCGTGACAATCATGGATGGAGTCTCCGCGGAATTCTTTTCCACGCCAAGTCAATCTTCCGCCAA